GCCCCGCCCCGCCCCGCAGGCACCTGTATGCACGCCTTGGTCTGCTCCCCGTTTCGGGCACCGGCCAGGCTCTCCCCTTTTTCCGCTGTTAAGCGTTTTTGTAAAAACAGCTGCTGCCAGACTGGCTGGGGCGGCCGAATCCTGAGCCAGCGTGTGTGTCCCACGTGGGGAGGTCCCAACTGCGCCCTGACTTGGGGAAGCACTCCAGGGAGGAGCTGTCTGGAGATGTGGCTGCACCTTTCTGCATGCAGAGACACTCTAGGGCCCAGGAAGCCCCATGGGGCATTCAAGGCTGTGTCCTGGTTTGCTTTGGCGTCTCCATCATCACCTGCAGGTAGTGAGTTCCTAGGAGATTGTGTGTAATCTACCAACTTGTGTGAGAGGCCGCCTGGAAAGATATCCAGAGCCATGCCTGCTTCCAGGGAGTCCTGAGCCCGAGTGATATCACAGTCCTCCCTCTCTCAGCTGGGCTTCTTCCCAGACATCTCCATAGGTTTCTGCCCCACGCCTTGAGCGGTAAAGCAGTCAGAGAATTTCTCTTCCTTCTTACAGGACGGAGGCTGCCCCTGCAAGTCAGGATTGTTATGAGTTCCTGGTGAGTGGCACAGCTCCCCAGTGTCCCCTTTATTCCTTGCTTCCCCACCATCCTCATCCTCTCTCTCTAAATCCCTGCTCAACATCTGGGTGTCCTGAGTCAAGCTGCCGAGAGGCACTTTGCCCTGCCTGTTGTGGAAGTTCACTTATGCCATGATGTGCAGGCCTTTCTGTTGCCTGGTATTGTTTTAGGAAGAACTTTGGCCTTGGCTCAGGATACCTGCAAAAGGGGAGGTGTGAGGAGGAAATCACAAAGGATGTACTTCATCACTTAAATTATCAGAGAAACCAGTTCTCACTACAGCCTTGTTTCCAAAACTGGTATCTGTGCCAGGTATACTGTTGAGCCTCATGGGGAGAAGGAGCTGGGCCTGGCTGAAAATTCCACAGTTATCCTTATTTCCTTTGAAGATCCCATTTGGCAGAAGCCCCAGAAGACCATGCTGTCTAGGATAGCCGGGAATGAGGGACTTTTCTGAGTGCCAGCTGTTCCCTGCCCTGTCTAGGGTGCTCACACCCCAAATGCTTTCCAGAGAGGTCTTCTGTTAGCATGCAGGAGACTAGAGGAGACAGCAGGCAGCAAGCTCTGGTCTGCCTAGGCACTCTCACTGTGTCCTCTGGTCAGAAAGCTGGAAACAGGCTTCTGTGCCCACAGAGTGAGTGCCATAGTGACATCAGCTGGGCCTGCCTCCCAGGCAGTGTAGGCCCCTTCTTCCAAAGACAAAGAGAGCCCCTGGGAGTATGGGGGTGAGTGAGGAAGACACTTGGTGGGTTCTCAAGAAGATCCCAGCTGCCTCTCACTGCCTATGCAGGGCTTCTCAGGTCTTGGCAGGGAAGGGCCCATAACTGCCAGGGAGGGTGCACACAGGCACCCCAGAGAAGGGGATGCCCACTGGGCGTTTGAGTTGCCTTTGAAATAAAGCTTCATGTTAAACATCCACAAGAATTTATCATCCACACTATGTTTGTTTGAGTAAAAATATAGGGTAAGTTACTTTTGTTTGAAATATTTCATCTTTGCCCTAAGTGTGCCCTGTGTACCCCCTGGCATCATGTACTCCTGGCATACCCCCACATGTCCACAGCGGGGCATCTTCCCTAACTTGAGGAGCACAGACTTGAGGTTTTGTAGCAAGGCACAAGACACAGGACCAACCCGGGGTTTATTTTCAAGCTGATTTTATTTAGGCTTGAAGACACAGAGAGCCTACAGAAATTTGATAATAGGGATTGTTTGTGTGAGTGACACATTTTATAGGAGTTGCTGTACTGAGAGGCAGACTGCTGAGAGCCTCTCAGGGCAGAGTTGGCTGTGTTCTGGAGGGAACCATCTGAGAATCCAGAGGGGATCTTAATAGTTCCTATCTTTCTAGGCACATATTGTAAACCAGGCATTATGGTCAACACATCACAAATATACTTTGATTTATTCCTTCCAGCAACCTTTACAATAGAAGCTACTATTATTATATTATTCTTTCCATTTCATAGATTAGAACACTGAAGCCTAAAGAGGTTACTTGCCTGCCCAAGGCCACACAGCTCTCACAGCCCTAGGATATCTAATTTCAAAGCTCCTGAGCCCAGCCCTACATACTACCTTCCAGCTCTGGCCTCCAGACTGAGGCCTGCCCTGGGCTTGGGCCAAGAGCAGACACAGCATTCTGGGGGGAAGAGCCACTGCTCTCTGCAGGCATCAAAGCCCCTTATGTTTTCTGTACCAAGGAACCTTACCACTGGGCTCCTCCCTGCTGTCATTGACCCAGATTGTCCTTGGTGAGAAAGAGCCCAGGGCCAACTGTCAGAGCCAGGACACATGCTACAGACACTGCTACCCGAATGGTCAGGAGTATGAGTCACTGAGTAATAGTTCCCTTCTGCAAGCTCCCTCTCTCTGTCTTCAACACTTTCCACTGCTGTTTCTGCGGGGATAAGAAGTGCCTCTTTGTACTTGGTATGTCCTGTTAGCATCCCCATCTCATCACACTGGCCGCCCCCCACAGGTTCATCACCCAGTTACCGTGTGTGTGGAGGGAGGGGCAGTGGGAAGGAGCCCTCATTTTCTACTCTGGCTACAGAAGCTGTAGATGGAAGGAGGACATGTTGCAGTCCTGACTGGGTTTAGCATCTCATGTTCCTTTGAGTCCTGAAGCTGAAGGACCACTCCTTTTACTTGATGCTTCATCCCTGTGACATGTCAGAGTGTAGCTGGCATTCCTTCCAACAGGAAATCAAGGTTGACACATTTCCAGTCAGAGCAGATATGTGTCTGTCTGGGTGTTGGGCGGGGGGCCCACAACTGACAAATTTCCTGACTTACTGCACATGTCAGTACTTACTCAGAACTTATGCTTGATCAGGGCTGTGGTCCCCACTGACCACAGCAATAGGATGCTAGATTTATATGAAACAGATTTGAGGTCTCTTCCTTTTTCTGTGACAAGACATTGTGCATATTGTTGTAGAACTGTTCTCCAGATGGCTTATTTCACCCTCTCCCCACTCCGCATTCAGCACATGCACCCTTCTCTTCAGCCTGTCTCTTGTTCCCTGCCTGGGCCACAGGTGAGCCTCCTCGGGGCAGCATACAGCCTCCTGCTAGCTGAGGCCTTCTCAGGAGACTGCCTTTCAGATAAGGGTTGCTCTGACTGAAGCCATATCCCAAGGGATATCTGTCCTGCTTTCTCCCTCTGTAGCTGCCAAAGGCTCTCTCTCAACCATCAAGAAGACCCGGAGGAGGGCAGAGTGGGATTTTCTGGCAAAGTCTGTACAAATATACCTGGTCATGGTGTGCCTGTTCCACTGCTCTCCAGATGTGTTGCCCCACACCACTGAAGCACAGCGCTTTGCTGGAACTTTGCCCACATTTGCCAGCCAGCAGTGGACCCAGCGCAGCCTCCAGCTCCTCCACTTCATATGTGAACACTGTCCTTCTGCAAAATGTTCCAACTCCTGACCCCTGGCACTCTTCATTCATCCAGACTGTGCTAAGTCCACCCCAGGATCACCACCTCCCACCCTTTCTTCTGTCCACTGCCTTCAGGCCTTGACCTTTACTTCTGCCTTGGAGGTGAAGGGAGCAAGCAGTTGCTTACCTGGAAAATGCAGACAGCAGCATGGAGCTCCTTGCCCTGGCTTTTGTCACATGTGGCCTCTCAGTAAGGGGAATCAGAGTGAGGTGCAGATTAGTAAAGACAGTGACTCTGTCTCTCACGGTTTGGTTTCCAGTCCAGCAGCTGCAGAGAGGGCCTTGGGAGGTGTGGCCAGTGTAATTCACTCGAGCTTCCTGCCTGCATCCCAGAGAGCAGCCTGGGAAATAGAGGGGGACTGTCCTCTCACTACCTGCCCCCGTCTTCCTCTCAGCCACAGCTGGCTTTCCTCCTTCCTCCTCCCTCCCTCAGAGGTTGGCCAGTCCTCCTACAGGGGCCTCTATGCTTCCTGTTCACTTTCACTCATTCCTCCCACAGAACAAGCGACATCCTTAACTCCCACCCTGGTGTCCTGCTGGGCCACTCCTCACATATCAGCTTCCTGGGGAGCATACTTTTCCCTCCCTGGGTGTCAGAACAGGGTATTGGGGGTCAAAATCCTACCTTCCTGACCTAGAACCCACCTTCTGCAGTGCTGTGGGGTGGGCAGGAGTGGGGGAATCCCAAAATTCTTTGCAGCAGTTCAGGAATAACCCCATGGCCAGGTGGCTGTGGCTGGCATACAGGGAGATCATTTTCTGTCCCTTACTCATATAGTTGGTTTTTTTTTTTTTTTGGCCAGGGATTGAACTGGGAACCTTGCCCTTGTGAGGTAGGTGGTGGAACCACTGAGCTAAATCCCCAGCCCTAGTATAGATATTTGTATACAGTGGCCTATCTGGGACCACTCTCTCTTTCAGCACTATTTTCTTTTTTTTTTCAATTTTATTTTATTGGTACATTTTAGGTATATAATATAATGACATCCATCATTGGAAATTTGCACCTTTACATAATCTCTCTTGGTTCAACTTTTCCCCATTCCCCTGTCCTCCCTTGAACCCCTCCATCCCTCCCTATTTACAAAGACTTTGTTTGCGTTTTTCATTATCTCATATTAATTCCCTTTCCTTCTTTTCTTTCCCATACTCCTTCCACTTCCCCTTCCCCTTTGCCCCTTTTCTTCCTATTTCACATTATCTATTATACCTTTTAGTCCTTATTTGCACTTTCAGTTTCTCACACTAGAGAAACCAGTATTTACACATGTGTGTACTATTTATTTCATTTAAGAGTATGGCCTCAATGTGTGTCCATTTAGCTATAAATGTCTCTAATTTCTCATTTTTTATGGCTGAGTAGTACTCCATT